GTTAGAAAGTTCAACTAGAGCTTGGGAAATACAGCCACTTGGTGGACGATACAAAACACCTACATTAACAGGTTGATCTTCGTTACTTAATGATAAGACAAGTATTTCTAGATGTTCTGTGACTTGTGATATATTCTCAATTACAGTAGCATTTAATTTATCGTCAACATAAAGGGCTACTCCAGTGCCCTTTTGTTTGTTAGGTGCTGTGTCCTGATAGTAACTATTATAACCGTCGAGCTGAAATAGACTGCTTAATTCTTTTCCAGTGTTGGTTTCAGCTAGAGCTATTACGGAGAATTTTGTTTTGTACCTACAGGTTTCAATGGCAAGGTTGTCAAAATTTGATTTATTTCCATCAATATTTTGAAAGAGAATAGATGATTGTTTCTTTACTTGGTTGCAGAGAATATTTGTAAGGTCAGATGCAGTGTATGAGTTACAATCATTTAAAGTATTTGAGATTTTGGTTGTGTATTCGTCTAGGTTGTTGTCGTCGTCGTCATTGTCAGTGAGTAGTTTAAATGGGTTGTATTTAACCTTGTCTAAATGGATACAACGAGTACAGTAAAACTCATTAGATTGGCTATTTGGATTTGATTTGCGATAGCATTTATGGTGCATTATGCAGTCACAGTGAAAACATTCAACTATTGTTTGGCCGATGACTATGTTCTTAGAACAGACAGGACATACCTCCTTAATGAGGGGAGTCATGGTTGGTAACCATCCACGTGACCCTGACTAGCAGCAGCAGGAACAACAGGACCAGTTTCTCTTCCAGCAGTCGCATCCCTGTAGGATCTATCGTCTACCCTTGTGGACCTCCTCTTCCTTTTGTCGATACCACCGTTAATCCTGAGAAGAACAGTGTTACGAATAAATTGACCTAACTTTGCTAGTCCCCTCCAGTTGAGGTGAAGGAAGTCCGGTTTTTGGTATTTGTTGAGGTCGCGAGAGAGAGAGCGGTCAAGGAGACCATCCCTATCACAGAACTCATCAAATCCATCCACATAACTGACACCAAAATTGGACGGGAGCAGCCTACATCGAATCAAACTGTTAAAGTATATAAGCTTTCTATTTAAATCAGCACGTTTAGAAGGAATTGTTGGACAAACATATACATGCACACCCGGATTAATAGATTGAATCTGGGCAATTTTTGAAACTAGATGGTTGTAGATTATATCAATATCGTTTTGGCTTTTTACATCTGTTTGTTTCAGGTCATTAACCCCACACAATATAACACAGTTTCTATAGCCACAGGACACATAAGGATCAATGCTATCGACAGTTGGGGCAAAGAATCGTTTTCCAGGAAGCCATTTGCCGAATGACTTGGCAGGATCAGAACCGAATTTCAGTCCGCCGGTGTTCGAGTCCCCAATGATACATGTAGCGTTTCTATTCAGGGAACTGACTGATCTCAATGTTATACTGTAGCGCAGCCCAGTTATCTCGCCTGCATCGATACGATGGTGGAACAGTGCTTGGCTACGACGAGTCATTACATATAATGATCCTGGGCCACATAGTTGCTTGTGCTCATCAATACCTGTACTAGCATCAGAGAAAGAAACATGACATGCAGTACCAAGAGAGACTGTAAAGATACTTGATTCCGGGTGGATAGAAGGCTCGTTATCAGAGTGTCTAGGCAAGGTGCTGCTTGTGCCGTCAAACCGATTCACCAAACAGCTGTTAACCTGAGGTTGGTCACCTGAACAAAACTCACTGTTGATTCTGTCGATGAGTTTTCTCAAGGGTGGTGGTATTGCCTTTGGTGTCTTGGACGACTTAGATCCAGGATAATCGTACCGTTCCCCATATGATAGGCAGGAGCGTTCGTTTTCAATTTTGAAGTCTGTGCTGCTCAAATCAAATAGGTCAACTAGTTCTTCCGCAGTCTTCTGATCTATAAAATCGTTTTTGAACAGTTCCACAGGTTTCTGCTCATGATGAGGTGGCTGCAAAAGGACAGGTGGTGCTGGAGAACTACAGGGGGATAACTACAGGGGAGAACTAGAGGGGAGAGAACAGCTCAGTACTACACCTGAGGAAGAACTACAGGAGGGAGAACAGCTCAGAACTACAGGGGGGGGGGGGGGGGGAGAACTACAGGGGAGAGAACAGCTCAGAAGTACTACAAGGGGAGAACAGCTCAGAACTACAGGAGGAAGAACTACAGGGGGAGAACAGCTCAGAACTACAGGGTGGGAGAACTACAGGGGGAGAACAGCTCAGAACTACAGGGTGGGAGAACTACAGGGAGAGAACAGCTCAGAAGAACTGCAAGGGGAGAACAGCTCAGAACTACAGGAGGGAGAACTACAGGGGGAGAACAGCTCAGAACTACAGGGTGGGAGAACTACAGGGGGAGAACAGCTCAGAACTACAGGGTGGGAGAACTACAGGGGGAGAACAGTTCAGAACTACAGGAGGAAGAACTACAGGGGGAGAACAGCTCAGAACTACAGGAGGGAGAAATACAGGGGAGAGAACAGCTCAGAACTACAGAGTACAGGGGGAGCACTACAGCGGAGAGAACAGCTCAGAACTACAGGGTGGGAGAACTACAGGGGGGAGAACAGCTCAGAACTACAGGAGGAAGCACTACAGGGGGAGAACAGCTCAGAACTACAGGGTGGGAGAACTACAGGGGGAGAACAGCTCAGAGGAACTACAGGGGAGAGAACAGCTCAGAAGAACTACGGGGGAGAGAACAGCTCAGAAGAACTACAAGGGAGAACAGCTCAGAACTACAGGAGGAAGAACTACAGGGGGAGAACAGCTCAGAACTACAGGGTGGGAGAACTACAGGGGGAGAACAGCTCAGAAGAACTACAGGGGAGAGAACAGCTCAGAACTACAGGGGAAGAACAGCTCAAAACTACAGGAGGAAGAACTACAGGGGGAGAACAGCTCAGAACTACAGGGGGAGCACTACAGCGGAGAGAACAGCTCAGAAGTACAGGAGGGAGATCTACGGGGGAGGGGGGGAACTACAGGGGGAACAGCTCAGAACTACAGGGGGAGAACTACAGGGGGGAGAACAGCTCAGAACTACAGGGGGGGGGGGGAGAACTACAGGGGAGGGGGAGAACTACATGGGGGAACAGCTCATGGAACTACAGGGGGAGAACTACAGGGGGGAGAACAGCTCAGAACTACAGGGGGGGGGGGGAGAACTACAGGGGAGGGGGAGAACTACATGGGGGAACAGCTCAAAAGAAACTACAGGGAGGGGGGAGAATAGCTCAAAAGAACTACATGGGGAGAGAACAGCTCAGAACTACAGGAGGAAGAACTACAGGGGGAGAACAGCTCAGAACTACAGGGGGAGAACTACAGGGGAGAACAGCTCAGAACTACAGGGGGAGCACTACAGGGGAGAGAACAGCTCAGAACTACAGGGAGGGAGAACTACAGGGGAGGGGTAACTACAGGGGGAACAGCTCAGAACTTCATGGGGGAACAGCTCAGAAGAAACTACAGGGAGGGGGGAGAATAGCTCAAAAGAACTACAGGGGGAGAACAGCTCAAAAGAACTACATGGAGAGAGAACAGCTCAGAACTACAGGGGGTGAATTACAGGGGGAGCAGCTCAGAAGTACTATAGGGGGAGAATTACAGGGGAGAGAACAGCTCAGAACTACAGGGAGAGAACAGCTCAGAACTACAGGAGGGAGAACTACAGAGGAGGGGGAGAACTACATGGGGGAACAGCTCAGAATTATGTAGTTCTAAGCTGTTCTCCCTCCTGTAGTTCTTCCTCAGGTGTAGTACTGAGCTGTTCTCTCCCCTCTAGTTCTCCCCCTGTAGTTATCCCCCTGTAGTTCTGAGCTGTTCATAGTTTGACTGAAAAATAGAGATGCACATCCAAATTTTAGGGCGCGGTTGCCATGGAAATGTACAAAAAATGTGTTTTTTGCAATTTTTGACGAAAGTGAGCACTTTAGGCTATATGTTTATTAATAAGTCTCATATAAATGTGCTGATTCCGCATCTTTTAAGCCTAATTTTGACTCTGTAGGTGCAATGGGTCCTGAGATATCGAATTTTTCCAGATTTCTGAGGTTCGCGAGCGCGGTTGTCATGGAAACGGCTTGGGGAACACCTAAATTTCCGAATTTTTCAAAAATAATTTTTTTGGTTACTATTTACGTCTATGGGGATGTACAAAAAACTTTCCAAGATGATCGGACGAAAAAGTGAAAATTCAGGTCAGTCTACTCTAGATACACACTTTTTTAGAGATTTTACCGGCGTATTCTCTAATATCACCTAATTTGTTCAATTTTAGGGAGGGGCACCAAAAGGGGAGGGGGCGCCAACAGGGGGGCGCTTTTTTCGGCAGGGGGGCGCCAACAGGCAACGTTACGCCACTGTGTGTAATTTGTTACAGTATGATGTAAATGCAATGATGAATAAGAGCTAGTCAGCTATTTTGGCTTCTATTTAGAAAGGTCAAGACGATAAAATGGCAATGTTGACCGATGCTTATTATTACGATGATATTCATTGTGATATTTACCAGTGCGATTAGTTTCTTAATAAAAACAAGGTTGCCCCAAAAATATTTGCAACCACTCATCCTAGGACGAGTTTTTTCCCTACAAAAAGAGATTTCAATTGTCACAGATTTAATATTTCCTTTATTCCCGGCAAAACCCTTTAGATTTTGTTTTGCCGATAACGATCTTGCCGATGGCGAATACTGTTTATGTCCTGAATAATTCATTGATTTTATGGTGAGATCATTGGTCCATTTGTTTCATTTTCTCAAGCAAAACTTTTGTTTTGATTGATTCTATTTGATTAAAAACAATATTGGTAAATAATGACTTCCTTGAAACAGATATCAAACATTGCTAGTGACAGAACTTCGATGCAATGGTCATTCATTTGTGACTGGATCAGGAGAATTTGTTTCAAATTATGATCCCAAATTAAATTGTTATTCCATTCTCACTAAAATTATGTTTTACAGCACAGAATGGAGTTTTACAATTTTGTTATGTTCATTGAACTTCTGGTTCTGTTTGCAATAAATGGACCAATGTACTACAAAATTCCTCATAACTTCAACCAATCAGATCTGTTTCTTGATATCAGGAACCGACAAGGATTGTAAGTAGCTAGTTTGTTTGTCACCAATGTGATACTGTTAAAATAATGTTAGACCTCACATTTGAATTGAATTAAGTATCAATTTTAAACTTCAAATGGTTTTGGTGCATATAATGGTTCAACCTCCCTACAGGTCAGTTCTATCAGTGCTGTGTTATAGAGCAATAGACGTTGTTCTACTTAAAGCTGGTGATACCACTCGAATAAATTCTGGAACATGCATGCATGTTGAATTGGTTTGTCACTTAAAAATGTTGAACCTTTTTGAAATTCATACATTTTTGCTCAGTTGCTTATATTAAATTTTGTTTTCCGTAGTCACCTACACCTGAAAGCAGCAGCTTCCCTTGGTCATATTTACGGAATGATTAGAAACACTAAACAATGCAACTCATAAATAATGTTTCTATCCAGATATTACGTATACTATCCGGATATTACGTACACTGTATATTGTGATTGAGTAAATTATTCACGTTTATTATAATTTTAAAGGTAATTTTGACATAAAATCTTCTGTATGACATCTCAGTCATCACCTACAGAATACCACAGTAAAATATAACATGTATGTTGATATGGTGATATATCAGGAATCGACCGGGATTGGAAATTTTGAGCTATCCCGGTCCCAGTCAAATGCTGATTCATGATCCCGGTCCCGGTTAATTCATGATTCTTGGTCCGATCCCGGTCCCGGTCAATCACTCAAATTTGCCGGGATTTTGACCGGGATCTTTTACATAATTTCATTCACTGTGATTTTAAGTTTTTCCTTTCATTCATTGTGAATTTCATCTATAAACATCCTCTGAGCCAAATAAAACAATGTTTAAAATTGCTAAACAAGTTTGAGTAATAAATTATGATCATGAATTAACCAGTAATCGACCGGAATTCCCAGTACCGGGAATCCCGGTACCGGGATTGGCAATTTTGAGCTATCCCGGTCCCGGTCAAGTCACATTTTTCATCCCGGTCCCGGTCCCGGGTCAAATGCTGATTTATGATCCCGGTCCCGGTTAATTCAGGATTCTTGGTCCCGGTCCCGGTCAGGCCTGAAATCATGTCCCGGTCGATTCCTGTGATATATATATGATTTCAGCTAACGTTGGTGCTAATCTCCTGGATCCTGTGGCTTGAACTAGTCCTCTTCGTCTCTGCAGGTTCTCCTAACTCGGTTAAACACATCAAGTTACAGATACTCTGCTTCATATGCCCTTTCCTGATGATGGCGCCTTGTATGTTCTACAAGATGTTTGAGTATACCCCAACCACCTACCGAGTTATCTGCTCCTTCAAAACACCTACAGGTTTGCGTGGTTCTAAAGTTTAATTTCCTTTAGACTTCACGATATGAAGATTGATATTCAAGTTTTTCTGCCTCTTCAAAAACAATAAAGAGACTTTTGCTGAGTTTTCTGATGGTGAAATAATATTCATCTGTCATAATATAATCAGACAGTTCATAATGCTATGATTTCATATCAGTTGCAGAGACACACCAGATAGGAATATCAAGTATGATGATGCTGCTGTTTACCTTGTGGATACCAGCACATACTTTATTAATCATGAGCTATAAGAGGAACAGGGTAAGAGTTGTGCATGGTTTTGATAAGGAGTTTCAGGGGTTTTAATCGATAATGCAGTATAACTGTTTTAACTGTATTATATTAAACGTATTTATGATTACAAAATAAGCCCAGGTACCGTAGACAAATCATGCAGACTTTGTTGTAACACCAGGCATAACTTTCTGTACCAAATAAAATTACAATATTACTGCAGTTGAACATGCTGACAGTTGTCATGGGACTGGTTTGTATTGCTCTCTACATTCCTGAACTCATGCACTTCATGGATAACAACACAAAAGCATCTATAGACGCTTCAACTTGCCGTTCCTTTATCCTGATGCTCCTTTCTGTTTACCTGAACTCAAGTGTAGCTGCAAAGATGGAGAAAGAAGTTGTATAACTTTGGATGTGACATCACATGTGACTCACATGTTTGTCACATGCGACTTGATTGTTGATTATACGTAGAATTTCAGATAGCTAGGCTTTAATTTAAATCTTAGCTTATGTGTCGAATACGTATGGTATTATATTATGTGTTTAATGTAAGTATAACGTAAGGAGATGTCTTAGGATATTCCCCTGTGTATGGTGGAATTATGTGATTAGTACTAGGCATATTGTTTGGTCTGAAATTTGATTTTGTCGCATTTGAAATGTAGACCTGGCAAAAAAAGACGACCGTTTTTTCGACGATTTTGATTGTAGCCGAATCGCCCAACATGACATGAACATGCTTTATAACTACGAATATGTGAATATGGCCGCAGAATTTAACACAGTCCATAAGTCATCATATCTAATTGATGATTGAATTGTACCATTTTACTGTCTCATGCTCAGGTGTACATTTCATTTTTCAGTTGTACAGTTTAGGTTTAAAAATAATTTGATGCTATTATGTTCTGCCTCTAATATTTTATAGGTTTATTTTGCAAATAATTATTTGATCCAATATCCTATGGTTGTAGTGTTTAAATCTTTTTAATCATGAGGTTGAATATTTGGGTGATTATTTATTAGCCGCTGATAAAACGTTGAACGTTTATTATTATAATATCTTCTATCTGATTGACTGTTCATTAAATTAATACGACGCCTGAAATGGAAGGAATACTGTTGGTTTATGTAGCTACATACCTGTAGGTTGATTCTACCTCTGAGAATTCCGTAAAGATTGTTTAGAACTCGAATCGTCTTAAGCCCTGAGCTTTGGTGTTTAGTTAGCATAGTCCATGTTATTACTTTGATGTTTGTTAAATTCTTATGCTTTATAACAATTTATTACTCGTATCAGAAATTATGTTGTTTTTTGGGTAACTTATGTAAATTTATGATAATTTAATCTATTAGATTAGAATGTTGTAAAACATATTGACGTTAGTTGTAAAATTTAACAGGTTTTTACTGTCTGCACATTTATGACATAAGATTGCACATTTTCAGGACAATTCCATGTCTCAACAATGTAAAATTAGCTTAAAAACATGAGTAACATATAGCAGTCATGATCTCTTTTAAACTACGATAATCATAAAGTTTTAAAACGTTTTATCATATAACGCATTACGTACTCAAGTAGGTATGCATGTTATTTTGTTTTTAAGACAAATTCTAATGATCCATAAAAATATTGAATTTCAATTTTATTGTAAGACTAGAAAAGTAACGTGTTGTTCCGTACAGGCATGTAAACCAGATAGTGCTGTAAAAACAATACGTGACGGGTTCTCTGCTCCTGCTATGAAAAACATAACCAACCTACTAGGACATTAGCTACAGGTAAGGGTCCCTTTCATAAACTTAGTGGATATAATGTTAATCTTTTTGATTGTGGTTTAATAATTGGATTGTAATAGAGTAACTATAATGCAATGAAGGTTTTAATTAGGTAGCTTTACGTTTCAGAGCTCATATTTCAGTTGTTAAATCTCAAAGCAGATTCATGGTTTAAAACATTCTTCCAGTTGACCAGCTTTTATTTATTTACCTTTTCTCAAGATAAATCTTAGTTTAGAAATCTACCCCGTTCACTCAGGCTTTTCTATAGAAAGCACATTTTGTAACACTCTTGTCAGATTGTTTTATTGTCAACAAAAAACACCACTTTTAAAGGTTTTATAAGTTAGAACACGACACCTCATGGTTTTACTGATGTGTTACAAAACAATACAAATGTATATTATATATTGTATAGTACCAGGTACCTTATTCATCGTTTTCATCATTGTTTTAGTTTTAGACTTTAGTTTATGTATCCGTTTTTCCTTTTTTTCAGGCTACTTATCAGATCTTTAAGATATTCATTTATGTTATATTTTTTATTTGAATAAAATTATATGATAATCAGTACAGGAACTAAACGACGATGACGACCAATAGTTCAAAGTACAATATAACGGTGATTGGGGCCCCGGGAGTCGGTAAGAGTGCTATTACCCTTCGACTTCTCTACCAGGAGGTTTGTGGCTTTTCCTGTTTATTGTTTGTTATTTCTACTGTTTTTGTGATTTTCTCCTCGTTTGTCTGTTCTCAAGTCAACTCTTCTGTATGTTTGTCTTGTATCTTTTTGAACTTAGCGTTTTCATGTAGACTAGATTTCATTTTAAAATGAAGTTTTCACACTTTGCCATTACCAAGCAGTAAATTTGGTAAGTAGCAAAGATTTACTGCTCTTCATTAATAGTCTTAATTAGTCTCCTCATTGACTAGTCTTATAATTTAATAGTCTTATAAGACCACAGAGTGTTCTTTAAAATGTAGCATCAATATACTTGTGCCGACCTCCAGCACCTACCCACTCTCGAATAGTAATAATTAGTAGGTTGAAAGGGTAACCTGATCTCGTACTCCCGCCATCTTGCCGTCTTTATACCGCTATTTAAACTTGTGAGTTTGCACCAGATGGTACTGTACGTGTTATCTACAATAGACACTGATAATTGGTGCAGTTTGCCGGTACAGCATGCTAAGCAAGATCCCCGATATATCTCTTGCACTGTAATTAGCGGTGTACTCGTGATTACATAATTACAACAAATTATCGGGTGATACGATACGAGTGGACAGGTTTTATCTTTTAGTCGTACATGGCAATAACCAGGATCACTAAACGATCGGTAAATTTTTGGATTGTGATATTGGAGATATCAGGGCTTGGTCTAATTTGGCTGGATCCACAAACCCTCACTCAAGATATCAGGGCTGGGTCCGAACTAGCTGGGTTCACAACCCCTCATTCAAGATATCAGGGCTGGGTCCGAACTAGCTGGGTCCACAAAGTACAAACCTTCACTCAAGATATCAGGGCTGGGTCCGAACTAGCTGGGTCCACAACCCCTCACTCAAGATATCAGGGCTGGGTCCGAACTAGCTGGGTCCACAACCCCTCACTCAAGATATCAGGGCTGGGTCCGAACTAGCTGGGTCCACAACCCCTCACTCAAGATATCAGGGCTGGGTCCGAACTAGCTGGGTCCACAACCCCTCACTCAAGATATCAGGGCTGGGTCCGAACTAGCTGGGTCACAACCCCTCATTCAAGATATCAGGGCTGGGTCCGAACTAGCTGGGTCCACAACCCCTCACTCAAGAGTCAAGATATCAGGGCTGGGTCCGAACTAGCTGGGTCCACAACCCCTCACTCAAGATATCAGGGCTGGGTCCGAACTAGCTGGGTCCACAACCCCTCACTCAAGATATCAGGGCTGGGTCCACAACCCATCACTCAAGATATCAGGGCTGGGTCCGAACTAACTGGGTCCACAAACCCTCACTCAAGATATCAGGGCTGGGTCCGAACTAACTGGGTCCACAAACCCTCACTCAAGATATCAGGGCTGGGTCCGAACTAGCTGGGTCCACAAACCCTCACTCAAGATATCAGGGCTGGGTCCGAACTAGCTTGGTCCACAAACCAACCCACCCTAACTATTTCCGGCTTGCCAGTATTCACACTAACATTTGCTTTAAATCTAATCACTAGGATTTACGAAAGTATGAACTTTCCCTAATGTATGCAGTCAATATATTGGAAATTCTGGCAACTTCTGTGTCATGATGACAAGTTCATGGAGGTCCCGACACCGTAATGTTTTTAAATTCCTGGCCAAGAAAAGGAGAAGAATGATCGGAATTCAGGATATCCTTGTTTTTTTTTCAAGTGCATCCTTACAGAATACAAGCATTAGCAAAACGTGAAATTAGCGTGCAGTTGTTGGTTTAAAGTGTGTTTTATACACACTACTTCTGTACTGATCACTAGAATAATATTAGCCTGGTTACATATGAAATTGTGTCGTAATGTACACTGTAATAATTTAAAATACAATATGTTCTGATAAAATGGTTAGAGTTGAATCCCCATATCATCGTGTAGTTAGTACTTTAGTACGGTATAATTATTGTATTATGTTGTGTTCACATCTTCTGTGAGTCTAGATTTGAAATGAGTATTGTGTGAACTGTAAAGTGGACTTTGAGTATTCAATTTACTCTGGTTCTGTGTAAAACTATTAACTAACGCTGGCATACCTAATATGAAAAGATGAAATGTAATATTTGTAGTGTAAGAAGTGCAAATTGCTCTCTTACATTCCTCATAATTATCCGCATAAATACCTAATATTATCGCATACATTCCTAATTATTCGCATTCCTAATTATTCGCACATTCTTATAATTCATTCACATGCCTAAATTTCTACGTCATACATTTTAAAAGTGCAGTTTTAACCATTAACTGGTAATAACAGCTCACTTCCTCCACGTGTATGTGATTTAGAAATACTGCAATCTTTTATTAATTGTTGCAGCATCAATTATAGGCGTAAACACAGAGAATGATGACCTGTACTGGATTCTATAAAAGGAAACCAGGCTTCACACATGTGACTTGGTGTCATTGTTAAATATGGAAATGATCAGACCAAGTTGTGGAATTACGTGTGTTGGTTCGTACAGTGTGTAATACATGGCTTTCAAAAACATTTACATTGCTGTTTCACACACATGGAGATTTGAGTTATGACGTTGTGAAGTACATATCTACTTTTATGAAGTCTAAAATGAGGTTTTGGAATTACACAATATGGTTTTAAGACCACCTAAAACAGCTCAATTTTCCAATGAACGCTATCGCAGCCCTTTGCTGAGTTTAATGTATATTACCACGTAAGATTGAAACCCACATGCAAATTAATCTGTTCGTTATTTGCATTCCTACACATTCCAATAGGTTAGCATGTTCAGTAATTACGGAAGACTGTTAGCAGTAGAAATGTGTGTGTAATGACTAATTCAGTTGTGTGTTGTGTTAGTTGCTGCTGTGTGTATTATATGAGCAGTATAATACAGTGATGGTACGGAGCAGGGTGTATGTAGAGATAAACTAATCACAGTTATAATACAGACAGTGCACTGAATCCTACCTAGTGCAGTACACTACTAGTACACTACTAGTGCATTTCTAGTGCAGTACACTACAATAGGGCATTTCTAGTGCAGTACACTGCTAGTGCAGTAATAGTACCAGTTCTTATGCAATTCTGGTGCAGTGTACACTAGTGCAATTCTAGTATTATAGTTTTAGTGCTGTAATATGCTAATAAGATACAGTGTATTGAGTACATACACTGTATACAATGCACATTATTCATTAACCCTACAACAGTATTGACTCTATATTCTATTCTTGACATATTATTACAACTGTAACCTTGATATAAAAACAAGATAAAATGCAGACGGAATATTCTAGAGTATTTTCCCGACCTTTAAACGTTCCAGATTGTGCATGATTTTATAGGCACCACGTGTGCTTGTTCTCTTGTTGTAGCCTGCATAAAACACGTTTTAAATCTACCAGCTGTTTTCTGTGTGTATTGTGTGAGCTATCAGATGTAACCATTATATATAATATATTGTCATTATGTGTATATATTGTATTGTGTTTACATCTTAAATTGGATTAAATAATATACATTAAGTTAGATGATAACCACAGTGGATATGAAATGAATTAACATGCGCGTGCGAAGGGCAGTTGTAGCTTGATCGGTTGAAAATAGTTTTGGTTAAATATCAGAACTCCAGAACCCACTTGCACCCCTCTAGTCTATGAACTGTTGTCTCAAAAGAGATGTCTAAAACTGAGAACCAACTCCTAACATAACTTTAGCAGATTCAACTAATAAGTTGATTAAAAGTTAATTTAAAATGTACTCGCGGGCCTTGACTAGAGTGTTGGGTGAGACGTTTATCTTCAGTTTTGGGTCCTCAGATTAAGAATTTGGAACTTGTCTTGTTGACAAATTGGTTGACAAATTCTACCCCTGAGTTGAGTAGCTCAGTTTAGAAATCAGAAAACACCCTTATTGAGGGGAAAGACAATGTCTATATTACATGTCATGTAATATAAATACTATGTAATATAAATACTCCTACCCATTTGCATGATTACTGTCTTGTTTCGACAACAATTAATGTTATAATTGGCAGGTTTTGCATTCTCCTAAAACGAACTAAACCATTTCCCCTCAGTTTGTGGACGACTATGAGCCCACCAAGCTGGACAGCTACCAGACAATGATGGATTACCAGGGACAAGAAGTAGACGTTCAGATTACGGACACTGCGGGTTTGTTTTACTGATAAAGACGTTTCTCACAGTTCAGCCATAACCGTCCGCCAAGAAGGATGCCAGAATAATACTTCAAGAGTCTGGCAACAAATTTGCATTAAATTAGGAGCCGCCACACTCCTTCCTTCGGCCTAGGCCTAATTAGTTTTCTTTGCACCGGATATCCAGCCAAGAAGGCCCGAAACGAAACACTTCAAATTTTGTTTTCTTAATTAGTGTCAGTAATGTCTCCCAATTTCCCCTCCAAAACAAGTGAATTCGTCAGCACGTGATATCTTCCAAGAATCACGTGATATCACAATATTTCCAAATTTCCCGTCACGCACAACATCCCTGTTGATGACGTAATGTCTTTCGTAAATCACGTGATCACAATGTTTCTCTGCTTCTTCAACCGCCCTTGATATCATTCAGCCCGCAGCTGGTAAATTGGTATAATGCTCCTGTAGACTCAGCTTTTTTTTAATGAGTTAGTAATTAGTCAATTTTCAGTCAATATTCATATTCAGTCACAAATCAGTCAATATTCAGTAAATATTCAGTAAATTTGTTCAGTCAATATTTAGTCAATATTCAGTAAATTTATTCAGTCAATATTCGGTCAGTGACTCATTAAAAATACACCAATAAAAAATAAACATGTGTCGAAATTAAACTTTTGCCTTCTCTTCCTGCGTGTGTACAACACAAATGATTGGTATTTCCTGGTTTACAGCGCACATTTTTGGAGTTGGCTAACCAAGCTTAAACCGTGATAATGTTTGAAACATTAGCCGACTAATTAGGCTGACACTAATTGGGTGGTGGTAAAAGAGAGATCGTTTTAAAGTGGGGTTGTGTGAAAGTCGGGGTTGTGTGAAAGTTGGGGTTGTGTGAATGTCGGGGTTGTGTGATTGTCGGGGTTGTGTGAATGTCGGGGTTGTGTGAAAGTTGGGGTTGTGTGAAAGTTTGGGTTGTGTGATTGTCGGGGTTGTGTAAAAGATGAGACTGCGTAAAATTCTGATCGTGTGAAAGTGTCGGATTTGTACGTGATTCCAGCGGGATACCAATTATTGAGTTTGAGCACTGATCATTACGATTGATCATTAACTGATACATTATCATGTAATTACTGTTATCACACAATTCGATTTGTCGTCAGCTTGTTATGAAGGAGAGAGAGAGAGAGAGAGATAAGTATTAGGTGGCTATTCGTGGGGTTGGGTTACACCACCACATCATCATTAATATGAGAGATACCCAGTCCATGTTTAATGTAGAAGCGGTTAAACCCGTCTGACCGCTGGTGGAGTTGGCCCACATCTTGTTCTACTTATCGAGTGTACTTGCACACCCCAGACAGTACACTTGTCTACTTGTACTTCTGTACTTGTACTTGGTAAATGGCAGTTCCGGAAATAACCCACTAAACAGGTGATAAACAATTAAAGAGGTGATAAACAGTCCGAATCACTAAGTTCTATCAAGTTTCACTCACATTTTAGCAGCAGTCTGAACCATGTCATTGAGAAATTTGGGTGATATCAGACATGATAAGAGATGTATTTAAGAGATAATAAGAGATGTATAATACATTGAATTCATGAGTAGGCAGGTTACGGTACTCTGCCTCTTTACATTTATCTCGTGAAGTTCACTTTTACAGGATGTGAAACGTATATATTGAATCGCCTTTTGATATCTCTAGCTTTTTAACTCTGAATTAATGAACATTTTATAACAGCTTTAGTTTTGAATGTCTTGCATTTCAATGTGAATCCAAGCTTTTGACCCAAACTTGGAATCATCCAGAAATGAATGACACGAACTTTGTTCAGGTCAAGAAGATTACGCGTCGGTACGAGATACATTCCTACGAAGTGGGGAAGGATTCCTTTGTGTGTTCAGTCTCACTGACATCGACAGTTACAACCACATTGAAGAGCTTTATAACCAGGTATGATAGCCTGACCTGTGGAATTTTACTAGTTTATCAGTTTGTGGAGTGAATTTATAATCATTGATCATACTAACAATTTGTAAATTATATATCCGGGTTAGGGTAAGTTTTGTTTATCGTTATTTTGAGTCAGAAGTCAGGAGGTCTGGTATCAAGGAATATACACTGTGTGATATTATCACCTCATATTCATCAAGTGCCACAGAGATAATATCTCGTAGACTCTGCAGTTTGCACATCAAAGTCATCCCTTACATCCTGTAAATACCAACCAAGTACAAGTTCCGTATCTCTTCACACCTCAAACACTCACCCAACACCACCACACGTGCAGCGCTGTTGGGAGGGAGTCAGTGCACATCTAACAAAACACACTAAGAGCTCTGTAAATGTTGTGTATATCATTGGTCTTTAGTCTGAGTAATGAAGGGTGTGGTCACAGTCTCCTCCTGTATAACGCTCTGTGTATTTGCTGTGTTAACTACCGTACATAGTGTACTCTAACAGCCAACCTGGACAAGATTTTAGGCTTACCTTCTCCTCCTCTCTCTCTCTCTCTCTCTCTCTCTCTCTCTCTCTCTCTCTCTCTCTCTCTCTCTCTCTCTCTCTCTCTCTCTCTCTCTCTCTCTCTCTCTCTCTCTCTCTCTCTCTCTCTCTCTCTCTCTCTCTCTCTCTCTCTCTCTCTCTCTCTCTCTCTCTCTCTCTCTCTCTCTCTCTCTCTCTCTCTCTCTCTCTCTCTCTCTCTCTCT